AAAACATTTGACTGCACATAGTCTTTATAAAAAGCCACAAAAGCGGAGAAGGACTTGGGGGTGTTGGTTGATGAGAAAATGAACATGGGCCGGCTTCAGTGTGCACTCACAGCCCAGAAAGCCAACCGTATCCTGGGCTGCATCAAAAGGAGCGTGACCAGCAGGTCGAAGGAGGTGATCCTGCCCCTCTACTCTGCTCTTGTGACACCTCACCTGGAGTATTGTGTGCAGTTCTGGTGTCCTCAACATAAAAAGGACATGGGACTGTTGGAACAAGTCCGTAGGAGGGCCACGAGGATGATCAGTGACTGGAGCATCTCCCATACACAGATGGGCTGAGAAAGTTGGTGCTGTTCAGCCTGGAGAAGAGAGGGCTGCGTGGAGACCTCATAGCAGCCTTCCAGTATCTGAAAGGGGGCTATAGAGGTGCTAGAGAGGGACTCTTCATTAGGGACTGTAGTGACAGGACAAGGGGTAACAGGTTAAAACTGAAACAGGGGAAGTTTAGATTGGATATAAGGAGGAAATTCTTTCCTGTTAGGGTGGTGAGGCACTGGAATGGGTTGCCCAGGGAGGTTGTGAATGTTCCATCCCTGGCAGTGTTCAAGGCCAGGTCGGATGAAGACTTGGGTGAGATGGTTTACTGTGAGGTGTCCCTGCCCATGGCAGGGGGGTTGGAACTAGATGATGTTAAGGTCCTTTCCAACCCTGACTATTCTATGATTCTAATGTTTACCTCAATACGATGAGAAGCACTGAACTGTGCAGCTTGGCAGGAACCTCTGGAAGCTTTCTTATCCAACCTGCTGCTTAAAGCAATGGCAGTTTAGGAAGCTTTGTTAGGATCTTTTCACGTTTTAACAAAGGATGGAGAAGATGGAAGACCAAGGATAGAGATTTCAGAACCTTTCTGGGCAACTGTTCAGGGCCTGACCAGCCTAATGAGCAACTTCTTATTATATCTAGTTGAAGTGTGATGCATAGATTCTCACTTGTGTCTATTGGCTCTCATACCACCCACTGCACTCTGGAAAAGTCACTCTTTTGTAACACCCTTGCATTAGGTAGACAGCAATAAAGTCTTCCCTTCTTATGGGGCTGAATATACCCACATCTTTCACCCTGTCATCCTAAAACATGTGCCCATCGTGGTACTCCTTTACTAGATTTAATCTAGTTAGTCTGTGTCTTTCTTGGAGGAGCCTGAAACAAGACATAGCCACATATGTAGAAATGCTGAATAGAATCAATTTTGTAAAGCAGCTGTCTATGCTCATGCCTATACAGCTACTGTGTTAGCCTTTGCCACAAAGACATGTCACTACCTTAAGCTCCACTTGTTGCTCTTAAGGACCTCACTTTTTCTGCAAAGCTGCTCTCTAGCCAGGTGGTCTTCTAGAATGTCCTGTTGTGAGAGGTTACTCTGGCAGGACTTTGGTGAATTTTATGAAGTTCTTATCAGCCCATTATTTCTGCCTGTGAGGTCCTCTGAACAGCAATCCAGCTCTCTAGTGAGCGTATCAGTTGCTCTCCTCTGTAAACTTGCTGAGAGGCACTCTAGCCTATCTTTGAGGTTGTTAATGAATACATTAAACCATGCTGATTGTCATATGGATCAATGAGAGATGCTTTTGATTGCTAGCTGTCAGGTACCTCCACTCTACAGATCATAACCCTTTGAGCCTTAACAGTCCAGCCAATTTTCCAGCCACCTTTCCTACTTTTCAGTTCAGATCTTAACTATTTGTCAATGGGAAACCATCTCAAATGCTTTGCCAAATTCAAGGTATACACCGTTGGCTTCTCTCCCTTTATTTTACAGTCCCCTTACAGAGGGAGTCAGATTGGCAAAGTAAGATTTTTCCTTAGTAAATCCATGCTAGCTGTTTCCAATCACCTTCTTGTCCATTCAGTGGCTGGACACGATTTCCAGGTTGAATTCCTATGTATCTTTCCTCAAAAAAGAGGTGAGGGCTGTATTTCACTTCTCTCATCCTTTGTGAAGATGGGTTCATGTGATGTTTGCCTTTTTTTTTAATTATTATTATTTTGGGGGTTTATTATTATTAATTATTATTAGATTTACGTAGTAGCAGAAGAGAGTGAACCAAATCAATTGGACTGGGGATATTCACTTTCCAGGAAGAGAAACACTTAAAAAATGAAGTAACAAAAAAAACTTCCAACACCCCAAACACTAGAACAAGCATTACAGAAAGCCTATGAACAGTTGGAGACAGATAAGAAAGGTACTGTAGCTGAAACCCATCTGAAATATGCTGCTATTTAAGAAATTAAATAAAAAAAAAAATTAACTAAAACCCTGAAACAACACACACACCTCACAAAAAAAAAAAACAAAACAGAAAAAACAACCAAAAAATTAGGTCCCACCCAAAAATGCTCTTAAAAACCTCTCTGTGAGGACTCAGTGGGAAATTTGTTTTTGTGGCCCTCACAGCCAGAAAACGTCAGCGTTTAGAACTTAAACTTGCATTGGTGCAAACATGTAGGCCAATAAACAATGGCAGGACAAATGCAAGTGAAAAGTTGAGAAGGCTAAAAAAAGCCCCAGGAGAGTTGTTTTCAAAGAAGCTTTAGCTGCGATAGTAAAATTTTCCTTAACTTAAGTGAAAAGGAAGCTAGTTAGGAAATTTGTAGTTTTGCTGAATGGTAACAGTGTAAAAAGGTATACCAGGTTTACAAGAACAGCTCAGTGAATCTTTGCATCAGTCTTTGCATCATGGTGAAGATGGTTAAGAAGATGCCAACAACTCATTTATTCTTTATAGCAGATACATCAAAGATGTTTGATCTGTTTGAAATAAGTGTACAGCAGTTATAATGTCAAGTAGATAAGTTGTTAATATCTTCCCATTCTTGGGAAGTTTGTCATCAGGAAAAGGAGGAAGAGAGAAAAAAAAGAAAACACACACACAAAAAAATGCACTGAGCATGGATCAACACAGTTTTGTTGGGAAAGCGGCACTAATGCTCCTGTAAAAGGAAATCGTGCGTCATTAGCCTGATGAAATTGCAGAAGGGTGACATTAACTAAGTGGTAACAGTAACCTGATCTGTATTTCCCAATTGCCTTTTACAAGGCTCCACATGAAAGATTCTAAATTCCTACGGGATTGGAGGAAAGGTCGTTTTAGCAAAAGGGAACCAGTTAAAGCCGAGGAAACAAGGAGCAGTGCTTACATGCCACTTTCAAAATGGGAAATTTGGATCAGTCAGTGTCAACTGTTGGGCTTGCACTCTGTTCTGAGTAGCATCTGCTTTTGCCTCTGGTGGAGACAGCACTGGTGATGAACCCAGCATGGATCTAACCCAGTGGGGCATTTCTAGCATTCATGTAAGCCAGTCATTGACTAGTATGGGTTGGATCTTGTATTACACATTATAATTTCTTGTTAGGCTTTGCTGAAATATTTCCAGCTTAGATACAGCATAACTTCAGTTGGAGACCATTTCACAATTTATTTGGAAGTGCTTCGGATGTTCAGACTATAAACCTACCCCTTTACTATTTCCTATAATTTATTTACTTCTACACGTCTTTCATCACCCTAAAAAACTCTTTATATAAAAGTTAACTCTCTTCAAAATCTTGTACAATTATCATTGTATGCTTGTCACTTTGTGTGTAGGGAGGCAGTATGATTATTCAAATGTTTTTGAAGTTGGCAAATAACATATTCAGAAGATAAAGGTTCAATAAGCATGTAATGTTGAATAGTCTTTAGTTACATAAACAGAGAATGTTTTTTCAAGGAAGGATTTTGCTGTTTGGTGGAAAAGGTGAACGTGCTATGAGGAGTTAAAACGGTGTGGAGGTAAAGGCCGCTCTAGGCTGTGTTACAGAAATTGATGATGACTGAACATGGAGGATGAAAGAAGGTCAATGAAAGTCAACCTGTGAAGGCAGCTGAGTGATCCTGGAGTCTTATGTGTCATGCAAAGAAAGTTACTTTCCATGTTTCTCATTTTCTTTGTAGTTGATGTGTTACAGCTGAGTCAGAGATGCATTAAACATATAATGTGTTTTAAAATACATTTTATTTTTAAACACTTTCTTAAGTTAGCAGATATTATTTGTACCTTAGCTCAGAGGGAATCTGTAAAACATAAATTTCTTGTAAAGCAGTTAGGTGCTGCTATGTAGAGTACAGCAGAAATAGCTGTGAGGAAATTAGCAATGCAACCTTCAGAACAGAGCTAGAATAATGTGTATTTTTATAGAATATGAGGTTATATTTTAAGCAAAGTCTGCATATCAAATGCCTGTCCTCTGTTCTAGGTGCTATTGGATCCTAGGCTGAAATCAGTGCATATCTTATTTCTAAAATAGAGTGCAACTATATAATTAAAGATTGTCAGAAAACATAAATGAACCATTTAAATTAATGTCTTTAATTCTAGCATCTCCCAATTTGACTTTGAATCTCTATCACTGATATCCTGGCAGCTTTTATTTGTATGTAATTTTAATAAAATGCAAAACAGTAATTCAGGTATTTTGGTGTACAGACCTTAGCTGATTGATATTACAGAATAAACTGTAGTGGTATTATAGTAGTTGATCAGGGCTGGAAAAGGGGAGGAGAGATTTTCTTAGTAAGTTTCTCAGACACTCGCAGAAAAAAAGAAGAATGGTATGATACATCTGCACAAGGTTGGCTGGTAGTTTCGCCTGAGACTGAGTACTTATTCCCCTCTCAACAGGAATCCACCTCCTACTGGTTTCCTTTTCATCTCAGGCATTTCCTTACCTAAAAGAGACTCGCTGAAAATTCTCAGTGTAGGTTCCAACCAATAATACACCTGCTTATGTTTAAAGTATGCCAAGTAACATCAAGTTAGAGCCAATTCCTGGGTCTTAACAACTTTTTCCTCACTAATATATTGATATGGTTTTGATTGATTTTTTTTAATGGTTTTAGTGGTGTCTTTGTGATTGTTATGTAGTTCTTAGTTTTTTATTTCCTGTTTTGTAGACTGAATCTTGAAAAAGAATTGGACCAGATGAAAGTACACCAATCTGTGGGTAAGTTCACAATACAGGAGTTTAAATATGTTTACGATAAAAAATATGTAGACTATCATATTTGTGTATGTAGCCTGTTAGAAATATCTTTCTCTTGAATGTGTGTTTTGTATGCATAAGGCCATGTATGTTCTTATTTCAAAGTATTATTAACCTAAAGTTCCCCACATGCCTATTAAATCAATAACAACTTAGCACGTAATACATGTTTGCAACTTGTTTATATATACTATATATAAAATTAATTATGTTTAAAGGATCTATGTATGTGTTTATAGATATATATATATAAAATCTAAATCTTGTTCATGAAGATTTCTTCAGAATCTGAAATGGTTTTTGAAGTACTGAAATTCAGTGATACAGAAGTATTGATATTCAGTGATACAGAAATTTCATGCTCATTCAGTCTTCTCTTTTCATACTTGTCTCAAAAATTATGTGAATTTGAAAGTGAATCAAAATGATGGAACTGTTATAAGACTCGTTCATCAATATCTTCTTTTATATCTTTACAATAGTTGGTGGTTCTATGTAGATGGGTCTTCGTCAGTCAGATAGGCAGTATATTACCACTGCCTCTCCATCACTTCTCTGATTCTGTGTATTATTTGCTGTTCCTGAATGGTATGGGAGAAGTATTCAAGAATGCATAGTTACAGTCCAGCTGTGTGTCACATCTGTGGTGAATTCTTTATGCACAATATGGTATAAAGGAAGGGAGTAGAAAACTGGAAGAAGTACTTTGAATGTTCTTGGCAATAAAATCTTACCATTGTTTACCCCAGTTTTCTACTGGGATTTGGTTTGGTTTGGTTTTGCTTTGCTTTGCTTTGGCGGGGAGGGATGTGATAATATTGGCCACTTGAATGAAAATGCGTGGGGTTTTTTTCCCTTTATTTTGAGTTTGGTTTATAGTTATCTATAAAACTTAGTGGAAATACCCAGTTGCTGAAAACTGAAAGTCACTGTTTTCTTTCATATTACTTTTTATGTGTTACATTCACAGCTTCAGATAGAAACCTAGTGAAGGTTTCAAATACTGACTTTAAAAATCATTTCTTTGCTTTTGCCAATTTAGTCAGTCTTCGCACAGACATAAGTGGAAAGGTAACCACCGGTGAGGTGTTGAGGGCGTGCTAAGCAGTAACCACATTTCCAAAAAGCAGTCAGATCCCTGAAACTGCACGTTCTTGACATGTTTAGTGCTTTAACAATTAGTCTTTTATTCCTTCTTTTTTCATTATCTTTTCAGATTAAAGCATGTCCTCCTTCAAAAGCTCGTGGGTAGATACACACTTCTAGATTGGTTATTGATATGATCATAGAATCACAGAACAGTTTGGGTTGGAAGGGAGCTTAAAGATCATCTGGTTCCAACCCCCATGCCACAGACAGGGACACCTTCCACTAGACCAAGTTGCTCGAAGTCACGTCTAAACTGGCCTTGAACACTGCCAGGGATAGACCATCCACAGCTTCTCTAGGCACCTGTTCCAATGTCTCACCACCCTCATAGTGAAGAATTTCTTCCTAACTTCTAATCTAAACCTACCCTCTTGTCAGTTTAAAACCATCCCCCCTTGTCCTGTGACTACAGGCCTTTGTCAGATGTCCCTCTCCAGAGTTCTTCTGGGCCCCTTTGGGAAGCCCCCCCAGTGGAAGCTGCCCTAAGGCCTCACTGGAGCATTCTCTTCTCCACACTGAACATGCCCAACTCTCTCAGCCTGTCTTCAAAGGAGAGGCTCTCCAGCCCTCTGATCATTGCCAGTGATGATTAGTTGTTGCTATACTGGGACTGAGAAAAAGGGTTAAACTTGTAGTGAAATGTGTTAGGCAAATTTTATTTGCCTTTTCCAGTATTTGTTGTTATAAGAATCGTTTAGATGGATAGGAATTTTTTGTAAGATTCAAAATCAAGTCCAAAGGTAAGTATTAAGTAACACTTTCATTAGCACGAGACTGAGCTGATTCCAGCTATTTTCCAAACTTTTGCCAATTGAAGTGTAAAAAATACTTGCTCACCTAAGCTATAAAAAGTAATTTCTTTGTTGTTGCCCTTGCAAATCTTCAAATATTGCCATGTAGTGGACACTTTTATCAATTGGTTGCCATTTTCTAGAAGACTGCACCATAACAACTGAAGCTGAATGATCATATTTGAGCGTAAATGAGCACATGTGAGCAATCCTTGCTCATGTGCTAAGAAAGTGTGTATATCCTCTGCCCTAAGATGAGTATTAAATGCCTTCTTTTTCCCAAATAAAAGTCAGTTCTGTTATTTGTAATTTGCTGAGGTTCAAACTTGATAGGGTCTAAGTACATTTTGTTCACAGTGTTACTATGTTTTCTTTTCTAAAAGTAAACCTGACATGAATTTACTCAGCTTATCAATGATGTTGGAATTCACTTTCACCTAAGCAGGTGTCTGTTCATTAGGCATTCTGACATCAAGGGATAAATTCTGAAAAAAAGTGGCTTAGCTTCCCTCTATGAAAAAAGATAGGCTCTATCCTCTTGCTTGATTAGATATCAGTAGTGTTTGTCAGGAGGAAGTACTGGTTAGCTTTGTTGTTCTTCTGTATCATTTTTCAAACCATGCTGGTCAAAGATGAAGGTCAGAGGAAGAGAAAATTCTGCTTCTGCCATTCCCAGTTTCTTTCCATTCTACTTCAGTTGCCCAAGCAATCAAATAATTATTTTCTAGTAGTTATCAAATCCAAATTCTATATTCATGCTATCCATGTCATTATTTATGTGTGAATGTAAAGAATGTGTTGTCAGGAACTCATGCCATTTTCTCCAAAAGCAGGAAAGTGGATCCATCTAATCCAATCCAGAAAAGCAAGTGCTGCCTTAGATGAAACCTAACTGTTGGCCCCCTATTTCTTCATGGAGGCAGTTTGAAGACTTCTTTCATTATACGACTTACGAATCTACCAATTTCCCAGCCTGTGTGTGAGAATGGCATTCTCTTCTTAATGGTCTTCACCCTGGATTTTCCCGCTGGCTGTTTTAGAATTAGCACAACTTTGGGAGCAAAAACTCAGTAACACTGTGGCTTTCTGCGCTATGGCATCTTCTGTCTGTCAGGGAATCCTTCACCTGGTACATACCGGAGGCAAAAATGGCATTCTTTTGGTGGTTCATGTAGGTACTCTATGAGCAACTAATGCATAGCTCTGGGGTTGCTTTTTACAACTGATGTTTTTTTCTCTGTGTAAGAAGGCTTTCTGCAAATATTAATCGTGAACTGTAATATCATAGTTCAAGGGCTATTTTGGCACCATTATCATCAGATTTGGTGACTGTTAATTAGGAATTAAGTGTTACATTCTAAATCTGGCAGTTAACTATGTTTTCCCAGTGGGACCTAAGTATACTTCTGTAAGACTTGATGACTGAAGATAGTGGCATTTACGACTTTTGGATCTATTCCTTGAGGGAAAACTTAGGATTTCTTCCTGCAGTAGAGTGTAGATGGGTAAAACATACATCTTCCTGAGTAATATGATGAATCTTTCTGCTGTCCTAGACAGACAGACAGTTATAGACAATGGTGTTTTATTGCCTCCTTAACCAATTCCTGTGAACAATTATATACCAATTAGAAGGGAGGAGGAGAAAAGGGGACTGAACAGGCCATCTGTTTTCTGCTCAGAAGAAAGGGTTATTCATCAGTGACCTTTGGATTTTCTTTCATTTATGTTGCTTGTGATTTCTGTGATAATACTGAACATGTACTGTCTTTTGTATCTATTTTACAGTAGTTTTCTTTATTTTCAGCACATGTTTATTTATAGCGTATTAAATCGTATTTTGGTATATCCACATAATAAACATAACACCTTGTGTGCTTTGATCAGTTACTTGGAATATGGGAAATCTTTTTTCTTTTCAGTGAGGTGCAGTAAATGCTGATATAAAAGTTATAGCAGACATTCAAATGAGTGAATATTTAGAAAAAGATGAAAAGCATGTCATATTATCTTTGTGTGTTTCTTAAAGAATGTTGTAAATGTATGCAGTACCACTGTGCTGGGGGACTATAGTCTGAAATAGCATGGGAACTACCATATTAATATCAAGGTAAAGGTACATATTCCCCAGATGCATAGTTTTACCTTTTTCAGCTTTTATTATCTTTAGAATAGTGTTCTATTTATTTCATGAATACAGAAGTATTAATTGGCCATGACATGTTCCAAAGACAAAAGAAAGGTCTAATTCACTCTAACAAACTTGTTAGTCACTGTTTATATCAAGAGGATTGTGAATCTACAGAGAGTAACACGGTTTTCTTCTACACTTGTTTTGTTTATAAATCAAAAGTTTTTAAGTGACCTGCAGTGTCTGCTTGTAGTTTGAAATGATACTTCTAAAGCAGCCCTCCACCAAGTAGCACAGATATTTGTCTACTATGATTAATTCTTTATGTTAATTGAGGCAAGAAGGGTAAGAAAAGAAATGTGAATATTGTGGGTTTACAGTGTTGGAGGAATTTTTTGTTCTTTAACATGTTATTTCATATTCCAAGAAAAAGTCCTGAGGTGTGTAATTGCTCATTTCTGTGAGCAGTGGGCAATTTACAAGAGTTGAGCTCTTGGTGCAGATCTAAACAGAATGCATTTTATTTTGATTTACTATACCTGTTTGTACTTCTAAACTTTTCCTTAGCATTCTTCTGTTTTAATAGATTGAATTGTAACTTATTGGCTGTCTCCGAGAGCAATATGTCAGAGTCAGTCTCTCTCTCATTAGCTGTATCAATTTCTAATTGTTATGAATTCACAGTATTAAAATAGAAGGATTTGTGTGATTCGTCTGGTAAAGTACATGATCTTTCACTTAACAAAAAAAGGGGATTTAAAGTTTTCATCCGTCCTAATTCTGTTACTATTTGCTTTGTTCACCAATCACTCTGATCCTCCTAGCAGGGGACAAGACCTAGAGAACAGAACTGGTAGTGACTGTGTAGATAAAAAGGCAATGAATTCTGCTTTTAAGGCATAGAGAGAATAGTCTATAAAGGGATAAAAATTGGAATGAAAGTACAGCATTTTTAACCTGCAGATCTATTGTACCTTTGAAAAGCTTGTACTCTGTAAAAAAACATACTGTGATGCTACAAAGATTTATAATTATGTGACAGAACACTTTGAAAAGAGGTCACTTTTCAGAAACTGACCAAAGACTAACTGCCAAGAAAATAGACGACATTATAAATAATTGCGGAAGTAAAGAATGCATTTCCTTAAAATCTCTAGGTATTTTTTAGTGAAATATTAGGTGTCACAATTACGTATTTTCCGATAGACAATTATTATTACTTTCTTGTAGAGCCACTTTTCAAACTTAGTGAAGATGATGAGGTCAAGAACAGTACTGCAAAGAAGAATATGAAAGAAGTTTCACATCAAATGTTACAGAAGGTAAGACACCAACCCCAGAAAACAGATCTAGATTCTAATATAAGAATCATATATGTAAAAGTCAGTACTCGTTAATTTAGGTCATAATTTCCTTTCCTAATTCAAAAAAATATGAATTTCCAAAATTGTGTCAAAAGTGGATTCTAATGAACTCACTGTGAACTTACCATGTAAGATAAACATGGTTAATGTCAGAGAAAATGAAAAGAATGTTTAGAGGTGTAATGTTAAAAAGTAATAAATTTTCTAAATTGGAGGTAACATATGCTTAGCATTTTACCACTTTAAAGTTCATTTCTTTTGCTGAGTATATAACTTTATACGTTATCAGGTGTTTATCTCCATAGAGCTCTTGGTACAGAACGAAATTGATGCATAATAGTGATAAATCCAGCTTTTGTTATATTTAAATTTTAGCACAACACTGCATATGCAAATATTTTCTACATATGTGGGTTTATCACTCTTTTCACTAGATAATACTGTATGCATTTAGTATTCTTTGGCTTAGGAAATATGATGAGTATTTAATCTTTACTGCTCAACATTCTACATGTTTTACCTCATAGAGAAACAAGATGTTCTTAACTAGTTGCTATTTGTATTTATATTTGTAATATACACAAGTAGTTTAGTATGTTAACAGGTGTTCACTTAAGAGGGCTCCCTTGTATTTTACCATATGTTTTGTTTGCTGCAAAGAAAAGACATCCTTCAAGCAGTATCATGCCTTTTGTTTGTCATTTTGCAAAACAATATTTATTTAATTACTTATAAATCTTTAAAAGCATGCTTAAATTGAATAAACAGAAATCTATAACTTTGAATGTCAGTTCAGGTATAGTCTATTTATTTTTTATTTGTGAATTAACTTGTAGGAAGTGTGGTAATTTACAGCAGATGATGTGATTGCATATACTTGTAACACTTACCATATGGTCAGGCAATGAAGGCTGTCATCTCGTTATTACTGAATGACAAACATCATGTTCAAATAATAACACACAGAATAGGAAGTGCTCACATTCATTTATCTTAAGGTTGAGTGAGTAATTGAAATAATAGGAATGCTACCATCTGAAATGTCACCTAGTTTATGCTTGCTTATCATCTACATTTCAGAACTATAATTTTATTTGCCAGGTACTCCATAATTTTTATCTCTATGGATATACAGAGTTATGATGGTACCTCAGGGATAGGTGTAGAAACTATTCATTGTTTGTTTCCTTCCGGCTGTCGTACATGACTTTAAGTGCTAGTGAGTGCAAAAGGTTGAAGTTGGCCATGTGTGTTCTACCATACCGCCTTGAAAAATACTCTTTACTACCCAGGATGCAATTTGCAAGCTTCTGGAGAAATCTCAAAGACTAGAAGTTTGGTTTAGTATCTGCTATAATTAAAATTGCCCCTTATTTCTGGAAATTGTGGGGTTTGGTTGTAACTGTAAGCAAATATTCCAGATGAACACTGAAAATCAGTTTATTGTTAGTGGCCTTGAATATATGTAAACCTCAAAAGCTGTTACAAAGCATATATATCATATGTATAGGTTGAATACACTTCTTTGAAACTATGTATAAGAAGCTTGTAAAGTGGCTTCATTGAAATAGGATAGATTTTCCCTTTCTGTGAGTAGAAAATGCATTTCAGCCTTCATATTTTTTAGGTGATGAGCTTCTGATATTTTTTGCTAAGATTTGTTTGGGTTTCTTTGGAAGATCAAAATAATATTTCATTTGTGTATTTACAGCACTTGAAAGAACTTGTTGATTTATACAGAATCAGAGAACTGTTAGAATTGGAAAATACTCTGGAAATCATCTAATCCAACCCCCCTGCCAAGGCAGGGATTTAGATAGCTAGTGCAAAATTGTCTGTATTTGAAAATAGTTTTCCTTCTGAAAATGTTTTTTAAAATTCAATTAGTATGTATAACCAAATCAGTAATGAGCTCAAGATGCATCAGAAAGGTTCATTAGCATACTTAAACTTCTGTGTCACTTTGCCTGGAATTTTAACTTCTTTTACCATCTGCCCTTTGTTCAACAGCTGTATTATTGCAACTAAAATGCTTTCATCTGCACTACGTTAGAATTATTTTTAAATTAGAGACTACAGATCGCTTTTGTCCTCATGCTTAATGTAATATTATTGTCATATAATAAATATATTTGAAACACTTTTTTTTCTGCTGGATAGGATGAAATATTCTGAATGCTATCATTGCTTTTGTTAGGTACAACAACTAGAAAGAAGATTCAAAGCTACTGAAGGGGAATTAAAGAAACAGAAAGAAGTAAATGAAGACTTATTGAAGGAGAAAAATTATTTGGAAGCATCTTTAAAAGTGCAAAAGGAAGATGCAGACACGAGAGAAAATGAGCTGGAAACACTATTTAAGAGGATTTGTAAAATAAGAAAAGACAAAGCAGAACTTCAGTTAGTGATTGATGCACAGGAAAAAGAAATTGCCTCTTTGAAGGGGCAAGTGGCAGAAGCTAGCAGGTTGAGAAATGAAAATGAAGATTTGCTGAGTCAAGTACAGGAGCTGAAGTATTTACTGGATGAAGCCAAAGCAGTGGCAACCTTTGGGCAATGTAATTGCAAGATAACAGACGCCAAGGTTAAATTAAAAACAGCCAAGAAAAAGAGCTCTTTGGGACATCATGGAGCTTTTCTCAAACAGTCCATCAAGGTTATGAGTAATGTATTTGAGAACTTCAGTAAGGACAGCTGGGAGGATGTGAGTGAAAGCAGGTACAGCTCTCATTAACTTAGCCCTGTAGAGGGGACACTGTGCATATGTAAAGCACTAGCAAATGGAGATTGAATTTCAACTACTGTTGATTTGGTATTCAAAAAAAATACTGTCAGATCCTTTGAAATATCTTGGGAGGTCTTGTTCTGAGCTTATTGACTGAAATTTGCATGCAAAATTAGCCACAACTGCATGAGTATTTGAGTAGGTGCCAGGAAACCCAAAAGAAGGCAATGCTTGATTTCTTCCAGTGATGCTATTTTCATGCAGTCATGAGGCTTGAAATTGACAGTTTGGCAGGTTGATTTAATTTGCTGGCCCTTTGCATATTCACCACTGACAGCTAAGGATTCCCAGGCAAGCCTACTAAGTCGGTTTAGTTATCTTGTGACATGCCAACCCGGGAGGAGAAACATTTTTTCCCCTTAATTTAGTTAGATAAATTTTGAATGACCCATTTCAGCTTGCTAGCAGATGTCTACAAGCTGTTTAACATCCTTTAAATTAAGAACCATCCACACTAATTATTTCATGTATGTTTTATGCACAGTCATTGTACTAACTTTAATTGAATGATGGTTAAAAATCAGTTCTTTAAAGGTAATTGTTACTGCATAGAGTCCCAGTCGTAAGTCACAAGTCCCTTAGAAAATTGCAGTGGCAAGCTTCATAAGCATTTTGAATTTTTTGCCTCTGCTTCGATTTGTTCACACATACTTGTGGAGGAAGCAGTAAGCCACTGGGTGAATGGGTATCACACCCTGAATTTCAATACTTTGTCCTAAGAGACATGCAAAGAAATTCCTCCAGCCTTTTTTACCCAAAATAAAGAGAAGGTAAAAAAAGAGCAAAGAAGACAATATCATCTTCTTAGGCTTCATGCTGGCTGTAGATATCTTACACAGCTTCTCCCCATGCAAGATAGGGGTCTCCTAAACACAGGATCTTGAGAGAGAAAACGAATTAAGAACAGTGTAATTTGTCAGTTGCTATCATTAATGTGAATCTTGTTTTTCTGTTTAATTTCATATTGCAGATCTGATTTTACAGAAAACATACGTGTTTTTCTGCTGCAGTCAGTGAGCTTTTTATTTAATTTACTGTGTTTTGCTTTTTAAGAATAAAATTCAGCAAGCAAATTGTTACTGCAGTTTGAGTTTGAGCGAAGTGAAAAGTAATTGTATGGCATTGGTTTTCATGGCTATCCGTAAATACTGCTTTCAGTAATTCTGCAGGTATCAGGTTAGGGACTTCATGTCATAGGATAGTGAACATTTTTGAAGGTTATGTTTCAAGGTGTCATTCTCAACAAGTTAGTGAGATACTTTCATTTACTTCCCTCTTCTATTTATTAATAAATACTGTTCTTTATCAGTAATTACTGCCTTTGAGTTTCTAGATTCAGGCCTTCAATTTTCTAAATAGAACATTCCTTGAAAGCAGGAAAATATGTACGCAGTTTGTAGTATCTCTGCTACTCCAGCACCTTCAAACTGTTACACTGATTTCTTTTCAGTTAATCAGACATACCAGTGTGTCAGGACAGGTTTTGAAAATTATAAAGATGTTTCTGCATGAACTCTTCAATTTAAGGCCTCTTTTCTAGTTAAGTAACCACCATATCTAAACCTTTCATTTTTATGATGGTGCAACTTAATTGGAACTCAACTGTGCCTTTTTAAATGCCTTGGTTTAAGAAGTAACAAATCAAAATAACCTTCTATCAGAAGATTCCTTCACAAATCCATTTGCACAAATGATGTTTAATAGCCGCTGGTAGTATAGAAAAACATTATATCCAAGACTTCATGTTTTAAAATGGACTTCAATGAATATCAGAAAACAAATGATAACCTGGGGCAAGGCAGTGGGATTCTATGAAATTAAGAGCATATTGAGTGAAAGTTTAAGGAAAAATTTGAAGAAGAGTGGAAGTTTCAGGTCCAGTTTCTGTGCATGGGAGGCAGTTTCAGTAGAAGGACTACCAACATTACAGAATTTCAAAGCACTCCAAAGGTGTACTTGGCAGATATTTCACTGAAGTGTGATTTCTGAGTTTGTCTCAGTCAACACTACAAATAAAGTTCAATTAAAACAAAATATAATTGAATGTAAAGTACTGTGCATTTGTTTGTTTTGTTATCAAATGTGAAAATGAAAATAAGTATAAAAACAGTATGTCTTTGTGAGCCATTCACAGACTGGAAGTACTAACAAGTAGTTTTTCATGTGTGTGACTTTTGTAGACTGTAACAAAAGCTGTCCTTTAAGAAGCCGTTGAAGTCTCACACCTCAGGGCATTGTAGAGTGAGATTCCATTTGACATAGTAAAATTTGATAAAATAATTTCCCAGATTTCTTCTTTATCATATTTGTAAACATCTGTTGAATAAGTCAACTCAGTACTGGCTTTTTTTTGTGTTAGTTTCTCTACTTTCTTGCATGTGTTATGTTCTCTGTGCTCAAGCACTGGCTGTTTGGAACTTGTAAGGTTTAACTTTATTTTGTTTTGTTTTCCTAAATGTGCTGTTTTAGTGACCCTGAAATACCAACTTCTGAAAGTTTGGAAATGGTGATTGCGAACATAGTACGAAACATTGATCCGCTGCCAGACAGAAATAAACAACATCAAAAAAAGCAAACACAAGATAGTCAAAAGCCCTGCAACATCGTTTGTTTAGAAGGCAAACCCCACCTGTATAATAAAAAGGTATATAATAGAACTTGGTTTGTTCTCTCGTGCATTTTTGTAGTATTGTCACTGCTGTTCCCCTTTTAATTAATTTGACTGTTGTAAACTGAAAAAATCTGTTTCTAGATACTCAATGGGTAGTTTCATTAGAATTTAGAATACTGTAAATGTGGAATAATAGCATCTACAGTGGAGGGAGTGTAAGATGTGCAAAAGCTCATTAAAAAATGTAAAGTTGCTATAAGTTGTCCAGACTTACAGTAACTTAGTTACTCTACATCCGGCTGCCTCTCAGTCCAAAGAATGCTGCAGACATACCATTAAACTCTCTCTCAATCAGAAAAACCGTACAGAGCAGGGTGACCTAACCCATAACAAGTAATATCCCTATCTCCCCTCTAGCAAAATGTTGTGCTGATGAATCAAGCGTGAACACCTCTCAGTTCATCTGGTGTGTGCAGAAATTGTTGTCTGAGTCTTAGAAAGATGCTTTTGGCTCTATCACTGTCCAAGAAATTCTACCTAGAGAAAACTATGCTTTTAGCTTTTTCTTAACCTATTTACATTCATTGTCTGGGATTTGAACCCCTTGCCTCATTCTTAACATCTATATGCTGTTTTTTCACAGAAAAGAGCCAGCTGGTTGTTTCCCAGGTCTTTAGATCCTCCATGCAATCTGTAACAGATGACTAATTTTTGGACTTTTGAACAGTTTCTAATATTTTTTCCCTCCTGCATTTGTCCAAATAAATCACTTCATGGAATTTAAAACAGAAAAAGATATTGTTGTTTCTTAGTTCAAGAAACAGAATACTGAAACGCTGGACAACTTCATGCTGTTAGAAAACTAGTTTGAAATTGTGCTATGTATGGTCATATAATAAAGAGTTTGAAAACATACTTTCTTATTCTCCAAAATTTTGAAGCAAATATAGACTATCATCTTGTTATATATTATTGATTGTGTGTTTCTATCAAAAGATCTATTTTTCTGGCACAAAAGGTGAAAAAAGGGAAATTCTGCAACCATCTGTTGGTATAGAATACACAGTATGAGCAGATGCATATGATATATGTGAAAATCTGACAATGTGTGCTACTCTTGTTATCTCCTGCTGCTCCTGTGTGAGGATATACAAGGCAGGGAATCCAAGAGGTGCTGGTCTCTCTGGCTTAGTAGTGTAGACATAGGCAGTGTGTTTCTTATTTGCCCATTTACCCTCTGCTCCTATTGGAAAAAAACCACAGATATTTTCTGGTACATTCTGACATATGTGACAGCCTGATGGACTTGGAGCATAAACAGGAACTATTCCCAAGAGCCCTAATCGGGTAAATACACTTCAGTAGAAGTCCCCTGTTGCAGGAAAAGTAACTGAAAATACAGTTTGTGACCACAGAGGATAGCATTGCAAACAGGCTTAGTATCAACAACCGGGGACACCAGTTTTAGCAGGAATCTTAAATCCCTCCTGAAGATTTAAGGGCACTTGAACTGGGTCACGGTATTCTCATACAATGGGATGCTAGAGAAATCTCCAAAGTCCTGAGCTATGGCTGGGGTTGGAGATGAGATAATTATGACATGAAGACTTTCTCAGTTTTGCTGCACATGGTTTAATTATATTAATACCCTGTGCAGTATCAGGACAGTTATTGGCACTCTCACATATATTTATCAGAGCTGTGGCCTAAAGTGGAGATCTCTGTCCTTCTGCTGCAGGCATGGATCATTTGTTTGTCATCCATTCAGAGTGCTGTTCTCTGTAACCCACAGTCACCATTTCAGACTAGTATCTGTCATCCAGTTACATATCTTTGGTGTTTGTAGGATCCTCTGGTCATACTGATAGGATCTTAGTACTGTTTTCCATTGTGGTCTTTGAGACATGGAAAACAATAATTATGAGACCACTCAAAGGGGACAGACCTACAAGAACTTGACCTCCTTTGTTTTCCTTTGCTTAGGTTTTAGTCTGAAAAGTTGGAACTTACATTTCTTTTCTTTTTTTCTAGCATAACCTATTTCCCTGTCCTTCAGATTGGGTGGTGATTGTACAAATCTAGAATTCATAGCTATGCTGTCCTACAATGTCAGTAAATTTAATAGATAATCTATTCCTGTTTAATCTTTTAAATTTGAAACAGCTGTTTTAATTATGAATATTTCTAGAAATCTTTTGCATGATATCACATGGAGATTGCAAACTGAAGATTTTGAAATTTGGATAAATGGTGCAGAATTCCAGAGCAAAAGTGTTTTAAAATACACTGAGCATTTAAAACCCAGGGTACTTTGATTTTGGAGAAAGCCATGCTGTGGTCATTTTCTTTTTACATATTGCAAGGAGCATTCTTCTTCAGCCTCTAATCTAGTCATTAATAGACACTTCATTTTCCTCTGGGATTCTTTGGGAAGGGTTATGATTTACCTGTAACAGTTCATTATTTATTCTACATTTGGTGAGAAAGGCAGAAATTTGTGCTCTTTGCTGGCTGGTTTTGTTAGACTGATTTTCAAATTAAAAATAATTAGAATATTGTGTAGTATTTGAACTAATTTTTGTTGTTTCAATTCAAACTGGATAACTTTGGAGTATTGTGGTGGGAGTGTCATAATGAAAAAGTCCCAGCTTTGTGATTTTGCTTTTTATTTCGGGCCATTCACAGAATAAAGACCTAGAAAAATTACATTCCAAGAGGAGGAAGATCTGCTGTCTCACAACTTCATGTCCATCAATTCTAAACAAAGGTAGGAATAATATGTATTTCCACAACTTTGTAAGTAAGATTGGCAAAGCATTCCTGCCTGAAATTCCAAAATCTCTTCTATATTACACAAACCCACTTAAATGCTGTTGCAAGATTTGCTTGTTTAAATTTACGAGTGTATTTTTCAAAGCTCATTATTTTTAACTGAAATTATTATATAAAGTGACTGTCAAGCAATGTCTTTTTGCACAGTTAAAATATACTCTATTTTTACTAAATCCCACACATTGAATCTACTGACTGAGATAAGGCTTTTCACTACCTTTTGTTCTTTGTGCCCCTTTTAGCCAATGAAACAAAATTATCTGTATTTTGATTTAGATATTAAGAAAAAAAATCTGTTAACAAGGTACTGAAGCCTTTATTTCTGGGAATCGGAATCAGATCAGAAACTTGAGCTCCAGTGAACTTCCAAGTCCTTATTGAGTTAGCAGTGTTTGCACTTCAGAATAAGAACTACATAGAGCGCTTACAGGTTAACTGAATTAATTTACCACCTTGCATACTGAGAAATGTTTTACTGGTTAGAACAGTCCTTTGAAGAGCAAAGAAAAATCAGAAATTATGTTATTTATGATGATCTATCAGTTTAGTAACATTCCGTTTTATGTTTAGGGAACAGAACAAAAAGAAGAAATATCATTGTCCGGAAACCAGGCTCCTCTGTTACTCTACTACATGAAAGAATTAAGTCACTGCAGCAGCAGCTAGCTGTTTTACAGAATGAAAAAAAGACAACAGTGTCTTCTGTGAAGCTATTTAAAGAAAACAATGAAAAACTAGCAAATGAGCTACAGCTGGCTGATCAGAGGCTTCAAACTAGTAAACTGACCATAGAGGTAAACTACTTTTCATTATGCTGTTTTGCAATGTTCAGATTAATTCTGTTGTTGTAAATTTGATAACATTGATTTTTGTCTCTGAATTTGTTATGATCAAGGTTATGAATTGTTATATACTAACATGTTTTATATTATATATATTATTATTTATACTAGCATGTGAGATTTTGGATCAGTTACTATGTGCAAATAATACTGAGGCCTGATTTACTATCAATCCAATTAATTAACTCTTATGAAAAAGAATCATAGAATGGTTTGGGTTGGAAGGGACCTTATAAATCACCTAGTTCCAAGCCCCCTACCATAGGCAGGGACGCCTACCACTAGACCAGGTTGCTCAAAGCCCAGTCCAGCCTGGCCTTGAGCATTGCCAGGAATGGAGAATCCTCAGCTTCTCTGGGCCAGTGCCTCACCACCCTCACAGGGAAGAATTTCTTTGAAATATGTGTGGGAAGTTTATCTTTTAACCTGTGGCCTGAGAACTTCCCTGAGAATCTGGTCAGTTCACATGAACTAGAACCCATTCCTCTGTGCAGAGCAGGCACTTTTGGAGAAATCATCTTCATACACCCCAAGAGCAGAGTGTTCAAGGCAACTGGAGTTTTCTTCCAAAGGTTTCTCAGACCAGTTCCATGTTTGATTGAATCCCATCACTCTCTGTCAAGGTGGAAAGCTAGAGAACAAGTTTTATAAAAATACAGACTAGTAAACTATTTGGTTAAAAACCCCAAAGATGACAGCTTTCTCTATTTTGGTCTTCATTCCTACTTAATCTTTTTCCATACTACTTTCTAGTTTTCCCCATACTCATTTATATATATGTATTTTGTGTTAATCTATATGCAGCTCCTCGGCTGGAATTCTTTTCTATTCATACTGTAGTGATTGGCCTGCCCTTTATAGAGCTGAATCAACAAACACTTTTGCAGTAATTGTCTCCTGTTGGTCACACACACATCCTGCTTCCAGAATTATAGTGCTACAACAGATGGACCTGCTAGGAGGAGGCAGACATTAAAAAAGAAATCAAATCCCCTCCCCCTCAAACTTCTTTGCATTTAGGTCTTTGTACAGAAGGCAGAAGCAGTACCAGGAGCAGCACTTTTCACTTTCGTTAGGCTGGGGAACTGCTAATTTCTAGAGGAGGGAAAACCTCATTTCTGTTACTCATTTTGCATAACTATGTATAAGTAATGAATTGTTCAAAAAGAGTTTCCAAGGTCATTGGAACCAATGGAGATCTGCCTATCTCACAAACAGTATCATAATGTAAAGTTTCATGGACAGTATAAACTTCACATAGAGTTATATGTGTAATTTAGGTAAAATATTCTGCTTGCTCAGACATCTTCATGATTTGACTTCTTAAAGGACTATACCTTATGTGTGTGTATGAGAGCAACATGAGAAATAAAATAAAAAAGGCTGTTATCAGGAAACTTAAAAAAGAAAGGGTCAAAATTTGTGTCAAGATAAATACTGCTGTATTGTAGAAGACTGACTAAAAGTGAAATAGCGTAGTCTTCAAAACAAACCAGTTTTTTTTCACTCAGTTTTTCTGGAAAGTTTTTAAAAAATAGTGGTCACTGGTCTATTTAAAGAGCAGTGCATTCTAAGCAAAAAAAGGTAAATGATGTTGCAGGTACTCAAGGAAAAAATCTTTATTAGGCATGCACATTTTTTTCCTTCTCAGCAAACAATTCAGATTCCCTTTCTTATGACTAATTACTCTTCAGGTGCCATACTAGTGCTACCAAGTGGGAAATTTAAAGCAGAGGCTTGGGCTACTTGCCAAGTGAAAATTAAGGAGGTAAAGAACCTACACGGTCACTGCAGGGTACACTCATGTTTAAAAGAGAAAACGATGATTTAGACAGATGAAATGATTTTAAAGCACACATTTGTTTGGGGGGTTAGTGTTTTGTTTTTGTTTTTTTTTTAATAAGAAACACTAAGATATTTAAATATTAAGATTCCACAAGAGAAATAACTTTTGGTGTTTGTTTTTTTTTTCTTGCAAGAACACTGTTTTCATTGTTCCTTCTCAATGCTTTTGTTACTTTAGATTTTAGAATTTTCTTGCATAGGTAGATGGTAAAAAACAAGCAAACAGACCATGAAAAAGTGAAAGATTGAGGCAATCTCTAGATTTAGGGAGAGTCTTAAATACTTCAAGAGTGACAAAAATGTCTGGTATCTAAAAATAAGCTTCAATATGTAATCATAAAGTTCTGACTAATCCTACAGTAACAGTGAACTTATGATGCTGGGCTAAAGTGTACCGTTCTATGAACAGTAAACATTAATATCATGGATGAGATGCCATGTTGCCTGAATTTGGCTAAGAAAATAGATCCATTAGCAGACAAGGGCAGATATGTGTGCAGTCAGTCCTTTATTATAATCCCCAATGAATCCAGTGCTAGAAAATCAACTATATACTTAAGATTTTAATGTTCAAGATGTTAATTTTGAGACAGACTTTACAGTTCATACAACCTAAGGACTGTCTGGCATCTCCTGATTTTCAGAAATGTAGGTATATGTATGGTTTTCTGTATTTTTCTTGAAGATCCACCCAGGCATGTATGTATGTGTATATTTGTCTGTCAGCTTGTAAGAGTTCAGAATGCTAGATTCGAGGCAGGTTTTTTTTTTGTTTGGCCTTGTAAACTCTGCAGCAACGTAGATTTCTTGCTTTGTTTTGATTCTGCAAAAGCAATTTTTTTTTTTTTTTTGCATATTTCTGCAAAAATGACTGTAAAGTGATTGCACATGTGAAATCAAAGCTTGGATTCTCCAAGGATTCACATCAACACTGAGTCAAGACCGTCTGTACAGAACTACGGTAGTTACAATTTGCTATCTGTGTACAGAAATCACAGCTGGGGCTGATACTTAATGTACAAACAAAGGGATTTAGCATTTCCTAAGTTTCTTAGAAAAATATGTGAAAGGAATTGTTGGAAAAATCCAGGATTTTATTTTCTAAGATTTATTGCCCCTTCTTTTCATTTCTGTCACTGACTGCTTATAAGAAGAGTAAATTTATTGCATACAACATAGTAATTGTAATTCATTTTATGTAGTAGGTGTCATTCTTGTTGCAAAAGTTCAGGCAAAGTATATTGAATAAGAAATGAAAATCATAAGCGGGTTAAATCTTAACTATTTATCTTATTCGTGTCAAGGCCATTCACAGGTACACTGCTCAAAAGTACTGGAGGATCTTTTGCATCAGTTCTCCAGTGTTTCTCAGGTGATGTCACAGGAAAAGCTGCATTTCTTAATGGAATGCCATAGGCATTTGCCAAGTTTCTGTGTAATTCTATTTCAGCAGGAAACCTGAATGTTAAAGAATGGAAACATGTCAACCAGTCAAACACCAACAGATCCTTTGGAAAGAAAAAATGTGAAGGTTTAAGTAAAGTTTTCTAGATGCACAGATGTATTCCTGAAGTCTACCTTAAGTTTTTGATGAACTGGGAAGAAAAGGAGCTGGTTTTGGTTTTAGTTTTGGGGTTTGTTTTTGCTTTTTTTTGTTGTTGTTTTTGCATATTTTAGCCGTAATACAGCCTAGGATTTTTTCTGATAGCATTTTAAAAATCCCACCAAACTGTATTTTAGCCTTTCCATTTTCTTTGAATATTAAGGGAACTCTTTTTCCCTGAACTCATACTTTGCATTTGCAATAGAATTTGCTTGCCAGAAGTTTATCTCAGGTGTAGAAGGGTGTGAGCCTGAAAAAATGAAAGAGTAAAGCACTAGTGAAAAGTCTAAAGCTTTTTATTCTCTAAAGTTTGTTTGTGGCTTTCTTTACAAATTCTCATGGCTACTTTTTGCTGCCCAGTCTATCAGAGAACAGCTCATAATTCAGTTGCATCTGCAAATTCAGCACCACAGCTTTGCTCTTTTTATGGTACCCAAATATGAGTGAACCAGGGATTACATTGAAATAAAGATTAAACTGATGCTGATTTTAGATGCCTTGTAAATTATTAACTATTATTTAAACAAAGATGTCACTTTGACTCTGGTTTTCATAAAGGGATTTTTCCCTTTTTAAGAGATGTATTCTCATTTACATAACAATTTTTGTATGTCTGTGGCTTTCTTAAAGTAAATTTTAGGAATAAGCTTGAAATTATAAACTGAGTGCTGTTTGAAATTACCCTGCAGTATGATAAAACTGCTTTTGGAACTTCCTCAGTTTTGTTCATTACAGCAAACGTGTAGTTGTGTTGACAGTTTTGGGGGACTTTCTACATGAACATTGTCCAGTTAGAAATTCTCGCAGGCATATCCAGTTGTTTTCTCCCAGAACGCTTTAACATGTGTCTTCATTTTATTTTGACTCTTCTTTCATGGAAATACTCCAGCACATTTGTGCTATTTTTTATTAAGTTCATAAGAAAGCTTCTGCATTCAGTGTCATGATTTCTAAATTAAGCGGGTTTCTTTTCTTTCCATTGCATGAAAAGATATTTTTAATTATATACATCAAATGAAACTATTCATACCTACAGAATACCTGAATGATAATATTTTATTAAAATATTTAGAAGAAATAAAATTTAGAAGACTTAAATTGCACTTTTTACAGATTAATTGTGCAGGAAATTGCTGCTACATCAGTATTGTATGCAGGAATTCTGACTTTCTATTTTTACTACAGTAGTAGTAAAAAAAAAATAAAGATGAATGAATCAAAGAACTCTGAAGCTTCTTAGGGAAATTTTATTCCCAAAAGCATCATAAGAAATGTATTTCTTCCCCTCTTCTCCTTCTTTAGAAGTGTACAGGTTATCCTGTCCTAGCTACTTTGACTATGAGTAGTCTTGGTTAATTTGCAGCAACTGTAATCTTTAGGCACAATATTTAAAAAGAAGTAAAGGCAGTTTGTATAAATATTTAAAAATCACAACAACAAAATTTCTATTTTACTTTTTCTGAAAATGCAGCAGAAGTGAAAAGGTAAACCAGAAGGAATAAAA